GGCTCTTGGAGCTGTAGCTACAGCCAAGAGGGCCTGCAATCCCAAGGCAAAATTTAAGATGCTGTTAAAATGGTGCCCATGTCTACATAAACAAGCTGAGATGGCACCACACTTCAATAAAAGGGAGTTCAGAAAATCGTTTTCTTGTTGGTATGTTTTGCTTCCCAAATTGAAGGCAGTTACACCCGTGCAAAACACAACATTGGTGTAACTGTTTCCACCAGGCACACACTCCCACCCCAGCTCATCCCAAAAAGTGTTAGGCAAGGCTGCACCAGCTCTCCCACCATCAGCAAGGCTAACGACAAGCAGCTGTCCTGGGGTTCAGTGAGTAGAGACATCTTGAACACACTTGGTTTGAATTAAGACTGGTCTTAATTCACAGGGGAGCACTGCCTTCAGAACAACTCCAGTTTTGCCAAAATCCCTTTTTTTAAAAGGCATTTCACCATCAGGGCAGCTATTTTTTTTTATTATTTTTTGAAGCCATCACTCACCAGAAGCTTCATACATGAGCAATACCCACAGCTGCCTGTTGCAGCAGACTGTCAAAGCTGAATAAGGTTTTAATTGGTTTTGGGAGACTGTTCCAGTTGGGACAAACTGCAGCAAAGTAACGGGATCCTGGAGCTCTTCCCAGAGCCCAACTGTACCCCAAGTCCCTCACCAGCACTCCAGGTGCCAGCACACCTTGTTAGCCCGTAACAAAGGCACCACTAATGAGCGTTAATTGGCTTCAGCTGGGGGACAGCAAAGGGCAAAAAAAAAACTTGTTTTTCAGCAGACTTGTCTCACTCAGAAGAATCACCTTTGTCCATACTGAGTTACGAACCGAGTCTCCTGTATCACCCCTCACCCCAGCCAGACACTACATGGAGCTTTCAGCACACAGTTGACAAATAAAACAGCACCTCTGGTCACCTTTCACACTTAAAAAAAGCAGCTTAGAAGTGGGCAAAAATACCACTTGCATGAGCACAAGTGTCCACTGTAGCCAAAATATGCCCCACCATGCACACCCGAGTTCAGCTTCATCCCCCTAAAGCCGCGGGAAGGGTGGAAGCACAGGTTGCTAGGCTAGGCAGCGGTTCGTCCGGCGTTTCCCTGAAGGCAGGGTCAGTTGTGTTCCCTGAGCTCCACCACACCCCGTGTTCCCCGCGGCTACCTCAGCAGCCGGGACCCCGCGAGGCCAGTCCGAAGGGAACGGGGATCCCATGGCAGCGCTCTGCCGGCAAGCGGGGCGATTCCCTGCAGGGCCGCCCTGAGGGCTCGGTGTCCCGCTGCCCTCTTCAGGCAGGTGGAACGGGCGGGAACGCCGCCCCCGGCAGCTCCACCGCGTGGAACCACGTGGCGGGGCGGCCTCGCGAGGCGGCACGTGCTCGCACTTACCGGCGGGAAGGCCATGGGCAGCACTACGGACGGGCGGCCCCGGAACGCAGCACAGACGAGCCAACAGAATAGCGAGGACACCGGGAACGGCGCAGCCCCTCTACCGGCCCGCGGCTTTTATGGACCGGGCCGGGCCGGAGGCGGGGGCGGGGGGGTGAGGGCGTGGACGTGGAGGGAGGGGCGGGGGTGCCGCTGAGGGGCGGGGCTGCTGCGCATGCGCGCAGCACGCGGCGGCCGCGTGGCGGCTGCCCCGCCGCCATCGGGCGGTTCCCGCCACAGCCCCACGGAGCCGCCTCGCCGTGAGGGGAGCGGGCAGCCGCGGGTTAACGTGGCATCACGCGAGGCATTCTGTCAGCCCCTCTGAGCTCGGCACTGTGCTGTCCGGCTTCAGCCACCCTCCCAGGGACACCTCAGCCCTGGCAGCTGCCACCTGCAGGATGTGACACTCGCCGTGCTCCCCGCCGTGAGGGGAATGGAATCCCCTATGCGTTAAATTGAGGGCCCCAAGGGCAGGCTTAGTGTCATCATTTCTTCACACATGGGCTGTGGTTCTCACTGATCCCCCTCAGAGGGGATGGAAGCCCTGAGCAGTTAAATCAGCCCTGTCTGAGTGCAATGGGGTGATGGTGGCACTGTGGTTTCCAGCTGTAGCCCCTCAGGTCATCTCAGTACCAGAAGCTCTCCACTCATGGGCTGTGGTGCCCACTGAACACCTCATGAGGAATAGGACTCCTGAGGGGTTAACTCAGCTCCCCTAAAGGGAGTAAGATGGTGGTGTCACTGCCCAGCTGGAGCCCCCTGGGGACATCTCAGCACTGGCAACACTTCGTGTTCTTCTAAGGGTAGCAGGACCCCAAGGCCAGTGACAGGAGTTCAGGACTTAAATCAGCCCCTCTGAGGGGTCTGGGATGGTAGCGGTTCTGACTTTTGCTTCAGCACCTCTGGGGCCACTCACCGCACAGAGGCTGCGTGTTCACCGGATGCCCTTGTGTGAGGATGTGCAGAAAATCACATTCTGAAAAGCCAGTGTCCATAAAGGAGACAGAAGAGTCCTGCAACTTTATTAGAATAAAGGGAGAGATTGTCCACTGGGGCATACACCCGTGGGGTTTTCTTTCTCTCTCGGTTTCAGAGGGCACAGCCTCCTTTTTAGCCTAAACTCCAGGCTGCATGTTGCCCTCTTCCTTCCCCCATCAGCTGAGGGAATCGGAAGGTGCAGCCTTCCCGAACCGCCTACCACATATTCCCCCTTTAAACAAGTCATTTTCCTCCCAAAGGTCAGAAACTCAGGCTTGTAGGGACCCTTTGTTTGTTTCAGGAGCCAAACTGCCTGGTTTCTCTACCAAACCTGCGGCTTGAAGTTGGGAGAGACATTAAGAACCATTTCAAAGGTTTTCATACCCATCCCCTCACCCATGGAATTGTTTTTAGATACATGAGCACACATCTTTCCTGTCAAGGGGAATGGGGTTCCCCAAGAGCAGCCTCAGTGCTGCCAACTCCCACACACAGGCTGTGATGCTCACTGAGCCCCTCATGAGGGGATGGGACCTCCAAGGGCTTAAATCAGTCCCTCTAAAGGGAATGCAATGATGGCACTGCCTGGCTGGAGTCCTTCTGAGGACCCTTAGTGCCAGCAGCATTCCATGCATGGGCTGTGGCACTCATGGTGTTCCTTCTGATGGATGAGACCCCCAAAGGGCTCTCAAATGACCCCCCCATGAAGGCAATGTGTTGGTGGCAGTGCCCACCTGAAGCCCCCCCGGGACACCTCAGCACCAGCATCTCTCCACACACACAGGTTGTGGCACTCACTGAGCCCCCTCTGAGGGGATGGGACACCCCATGACTAAAAAAGGGGTTCCCCAAGGGTAGCCTCAGTGCTGGCAGCTCCTACAGATGAGCTGTGGCATTCAGTGTGACCCCTGTGAAGGGATGGGACCCCCAAGGGGTTAAACGTGCCCCTCTAAGGGGAATGGGATGATGGCACTGTCGTGCCTGGATGGAGCTCTCCAGGGGATACCTCAGTGCCAGTAGCTCTCCTCTCACTGGCTGTGGTGCTCACTGAGCATCCCATGAGGGAATGGGACCCCAGAGGGGTTAAATGAGCCCCTGTAAGGGGAATGGCATGGTGGTGGCACTGCAGTGTCCATCTGGAGCCTTCACAGGGACACCTCAGCGCTGTCAGCTCCCACACACGGGCTGTGGTGCTCGCTAAGCCCACTCTGTGGGGAATGGGATCCCCAAGGGCTAAAATCATGTCCCTCAGGACTTAAATCAGCTCCTCTGAGGTACTGGAATGGTGGCAGTGCTGTGGCTCAGCTTCACAACCCCCACAGTGCCAGTCACTTGCCACACACAGGCTGGGTGTTCCCTGAGCCCACTCTGAGTGGAATGGGACCCAAAGGGGTTAAAATGGGTTCCCCAAGGAAAATGGGGTGGTGGCAGTGCTGTGGTGCCTGGCTTTAGCCCTTCCAGACCCCCTTTGGCTCCAGCAGTTCTCCACACACAGGCTCAGCACTCTGGGCTCCCCATGGGACAATGAGTCTCCCAAGGGCTTAAATCAGTCCCCCTGAGGAGAATGGAGCGGTGGCACAGTGATGCCTGGCTGCAAACTCCCTCCCAGGGATGTCTCAGCGCTGGCAGCTCGTACACAGAGGCTGGGCTGTTCACTGAGCCCCCCATGAGGGAATGGGACCCCCAGGGGGTTAAAGTGAGGTCTCCAAGGGCATCTTTCCACACACAGGCTGTGGCACTCGCTGAGCCCATGAAGGGATAGGAGCCCAAGGGTTAAATCAGCCTCCCTAAGGGAAACAGGGTGGTGGCATCATTGTGCTCTCTGTGAGGCAGCACAGCTCCAGCCCCTGTCCTTATGGGAATGGGCTTTTTCCCTGTGGAACAAGCACTTGACACCCAGTGGTTGCTGCTGCTGCTCCAGCCAGGGACTCCTCACCCATCAGAAAACACAAAGGGGTTTTTTTCATCTCTTACCCGGAAAAAGCAGAAAGCCCCTCACCCTTTTTGTGGCAGTGGAGGTGGTTCGGGATTCAGACCTTCCCGCACGTCCTTTGCTCATCCTCTGCCTCTGGTGCTGGGCCTGACTCTGCGCTGAGCTGCAGATTTGGATGGAGAGAGCCAGTGCTCACTGAAATCCCACCCAGCCCGTGCTGGGAGGAGAGATCTTAATAAAGAGTCAGATTTCCTTCTTTTTTTGTAATCCCAGTTTGGAGATGAAACGCCTCCCTGAGCTGGCCCCAGGAATCCCTCCAGTGACACTGCAGAACAGACCCAGCCCTGACGTAGCAGGTATTTCTGCGGTCGAAGCATGAGCAATTCTGCCTTGAATAAATAGCTGGAACCCTCCCAAGACTCCTCAGATCCGTGCTCTGACTGAGCACCTCCTGCCCTGGGGGGTTCACTCCCACACCGTGTGCCAGGTTTTCTCCAGGACGCAGCAGCCACCTACCCCTGGGACACTCTGCATGTTTCCAGTCACCTAAGGGATGGCTGGTCCCCTGCTGTCCCCTGTGGCTGCCCCGGGGAGGCTGGCAGAGCCCGGCATGGGGGGAATTTAGGGTTGATATGCCCACAGAACAGAGAAGGAAAAGGGAACAGGTTGGAGAAGAGCTTTATTGGGAGATCCTGGACATAATAAATAAGGGTTACATCGGGAGATGACAGTGAGGGACTGGGGCCACACTGTGCTCCATGGGGGCTGGAACTGCTTCTGCCCTTCTGAGTAGGACACTTCCCTGCATCCCATCTGCTGCATCCTTCTCCTTCCGCCCAGCAGCAAAGCTGGCCCGAGGGTTGCTGCCTGCCGCCCCTTTTGGGATTGGGGCAGGGAATAACCTGGGAGAAACAGGGGCAAGGGAGTGTTTTGGGGAGCAGCACGGGGCAGAAGGGGTGGGAGGGCAGGGCCATAGGTGCGGCAGAGCCCAGCTGTCACTGTGTCAGGGCCTGGATGATGTCCTTCACCAGCATGGTGCCGATGACCATCTTCTCGCTGTTGATGGTCAGCTGGGCCGTGGAGCCCTCCCGCCGCTCCAGGGTGATGAGCACCAGGCTCCCGCTTGTCACCGTCTTGGCTGCAAACCTGTGGGGTGGTAAACACAGGGCTTCAAGGCAACCTGTCCCCTGTCACCCTCTGGTCCCATGGGATGCTCCAGTGGGGACAGGCAGGTGCCTGCCACCCACGGCCACTGTCCCATTTGGGTTCATGCAGGCTCCTCATCCTAAAGGAAGCCGTGAGTGTCCCCACTGTGATTCAGGTGGGAACGGAGGGGTGACAGCGCCTGCCTGACCCAGGTGTGGGGGTGCAGCTACCTGTACTCATTGCTGGCACCGCAGGGCACGCGGCCCACGTTGGCAGCCGAGGTCACTTGCTGGACGATGGTGTGGTCACTTCGGCATTTCTCAGGCAGCGACAGCTTCTCTGTGATCTCACTCATGCCCATCAGCTTCCCTAGAGCAGGCAACAGAGGCACCTGCCTGTCTCTGGTCACAACCCTGCTGGGCCCTGCTTTGATATGCCCAAAGCAAGCCCCTCCAGCTCCCTCAGTTCAGGTTCCCCATGACATCCTGAGCTGGCTGCTCTGCTTGCTCTTGGTTCAGGATTCAGCAGAGATGGGAAAATCCTTCATAACCCTTTCTGGGCTCATCCCTATGTGCCTGCCTGGTGGCAGCAGCCACATCCCTGGAGATGTGCTCCTCTGGACAGTGGCAGCAATGGGGCCAGGTGCTACAGGGCACCAAGCACCTCCTACTCAACACTGCCCCCATCCATGGGGTCAGGGTGGGGATGTGCTGATCCAGAAGCACGGAGACACAGGGTGTCACTCACCAGACACAGTTCTGGGAGCACCAGGGTGACATGGGCCCTTCACACTTTGTGGAGACCCAACAAGGCCACCCTGGCACCAGAGTGGTCACCCCAGCCCACAGGCTGGGGGTGCAGGGGAGGGTGAGGGGAGCAGAGCTAGTCTAGGGGCCAGCTGAGCAGCCACTTACCCTCACCCGGCCGTGCCAGGTGCTCTAGGGCCACAGCAAGGGCGGCAGAGGGGACAAAATTGGGGGTGAGTGTCAGTGGTGGGTGCCCATGCAGCACCCTGTCCCCATCCCTGGCCCCACTCACCCTGCTCCTTCTTGAACTCGTTCTCGCTCATGAAGACAGGGGCCATGAGCTCCCCCACGGGTGGCTGGATGGAGACGTAGAACTGGCGCGTGTGGGTGCTGGGGAGACAGGCGGGTCAGAGGGGCATGTGCTCAGATTATGTCCCCTCTCCATGTCCGGCTTCCTATCCCTGCCCTGGGCAGGGGTGACCGCGGAAACTGTGGCACAAAAGGGCTCAGGAATGGGGGGAACCTGTCAGGCTGGACCTGGAGCTGCTGCTGCCTCTGTGTCCCCTTGCAGTGAGGCCTGTGCATTTCCTGCTTGTCCCCCACCCATCCCATGGCCATCTGACCATCTCCTCTTCCCTGGAAGGACTCTGCTGCCTGTCCTGTTGTCCTCCATCCCCTCATGCCCTGCTTCTGCTGTCTCCTGTCCCTTGCTATGTGGAGGGATGTTGATACCTATCCCACTTTCCCCATCTCTGGAGCACCTGATGCCCTGAATCCCTGGGGACACCCATCCTGCCCTGCCCAATGCCAGATGCTCACCACAGCTGGAAGTTTGCCGCCTGGGTGGAGTCACAGAAGTCGATGCCCATCACCACGGTGGCTGTGTCCCCTGGCGCCAGGTGCTCTGGAACCACAGGGCTGCCACTACATCCCACATTCCCAGCCAACCCCTGTCCCCACTCCCCTGCGGCGTCACGGCCACGCCGTGCCATGCCATACCGATCTCAGGGAACTCCTGTATCCTCATGCCGGACAGTGGCTTGGGTTCGTTGACCCGCAGGTTCTTCACCTCGGTGTCGGTGTTGTTGGAGATCTGGATCTGCACGGCCACCATGTGGGGGTCGCTGGGGAAGGGCCGGCGGCTGAAGCAGTACTCCACCGCCAGCCCCTCGCCCGCCATGCGGTGCAGCAGCTCATAGGTCTTCACCGCGCTGAATGCCGGGCTCAGCAGCTGCACCAGGGGACAGCATGGGCTGCTCAGGGCTCCCTGCAACCCCTACAGCTGGCAGAGGGCCCAGGAGCCCCCACGGGTGACAGGAGGAGGCCTGGGACCTCCCCAGACAGGGCATGGGGGACACTTACGGTGGGTGTCAGGGAGGTGTCAGTGAGAGTGAGGCCCTCCAGGTCAGTCACAAGGCTGGTGGAGATAATGCTGCTGGAGGGGATGGGCTGGGGAGGAGGGGGAGTGACTGCAAGGTGGGGAGGGGGGAGGAAAGGGTTAACAGAGCTCACAGCCCCATGGCTGTGAGCATAGCCCCATGGGGACACCCATACGGGGACAGTTCTAGTGGCTCAGCTCCATGGGGACAATAGCATGGGGACAGGCCCAATGCCACAGCTCCATGGGGACAACCACATGGGTACAGCCATATGAGGACAGAATGGTGGCATAGTGCCATGGAGACAACTCCATGGGCACAGCCTCATGGGGATAGCCCCATGGGGACAGCCATGTGGGGTCAGCCCTGGTGGCACAGTCCCATGGGGAGAGCCACACAAGGACAGCCCAGTGGCACAGCTCCATTGGTGCAGACACAACCCTGTAGGCTGTCCCTGTGCACAGCCACACGGGGACAATCCAATAGGCACAGCCGCCTGTCCCACAGCCATCTTCTGGGGACAAGGACCCCCTCACCACACCTGTTCTTGTCCCAGCTTTGCAGCTCCCAAAGGACCCATGGAGTCCTGATGGCACTGGGGTGAGTGCTCATGCCTCAGTTTCCCCAGCACCACCACCATGGCCATTCGCATATTCCAGGCAGCCACTCACAGTCATCCAGGTCAAGCAGGGAGATCTCCTTGGAGCTGGCCTTGCTGCTGGGGGGCTGCAGTGGGGCAGAGATGGGAGTTCAATAGGGGGTCTAGGTATCCCTGTGCAGCCCCCAACCCAGCCCATCCCAGCCCTCACCGCCTTCCTCTGCTTGGCCTCTGCCTCGGAGCCCGAGTCGGAGCCAGAGGAGCTGCTCTCGGAGGTGCTGGCCTCTGATGAGGTTTCAGCACGGCCTTTCCTCCCCTGAGGGGCCTTCTTCTTGGCCTTCTTTGCCCCTTCCTCCTCCTCCTCTTCCTCGCTGGGGCTGCAGGGAGAGCCCAGCTCAGGGGGTTGGGGTGGGGGTTTCGCTGGGAGTATCCCCCTGCCTTCCCAGGGCATACCTGCCTGCAGTCCCCAAGACTGCCTTATGGGAACCTTCCTTGTCCTTCCTCTTTGGCCTCTTCTCCTCCTCCTCCTCCTCCTTGTCCTCTGACTGCTCCCCGCTGTCATCCTCCTCCTCTTCCTCATCTTCCTCCTCGCTGCCAGAGCTGGAGCTGCCAGAGCTGCTGCTGCTGCCGTTCTCTTCGCTGCCGGACTCGGGCTCTGTGGGGGCACAGCTCAGCCCTGCTGCTGTGTCCCCCCACATTCCTCCATCTCCCATTTCATCCCACTACATCCTCCATCCTCCCACTGCAACCCCACACCTGCTGCTGCCTTGCCACTGCATCCTCCCACTGCATTCCTGGATAGTCCCACTGCCCACCACTGCCTCCTTCTACATCTCCTGCCATGTCCCTCCCATGATGGGGTGTCCCCAATGTCATGTCCCCTGTCCAATGCCCCACCATTGTGGCACCTGCCTGATGTCCACAGTGACCACTGCCCAATATCTCATGCCCTCAGGTCCTCACCACTGTCTGCCGACTCCGTGGGCCCTGACTCGCCCTCTGAGTCAGAATAGAAAGGCTTCTCCACTTTCTCCTTCCTCTTCTCCCGGCTGGTGCACTTGGTCCACTCAGGAACCTGCTGGCACAGGGTTGATGGAGCAGGGCCATCCCCATGACTGGGGGATCCAAACACCCACCCTTGTCCCCCCATCCCCAATCGGATGTGTGAGCACTAGAGAGGGAACGGGGGCAGGTGAGCAGTACCTAGGCACCTTCTGGGGCTCTTTCAAGACCTTCAGTCAGTGTCCCCACCTTGGCCCCTCCTCCCCCATGCACCCAAGGTGCTCCACGCACCTCCACATTCCTCACAGAGGGGTCAGGGGCCTCGTCTGGCCAGTCAGGCAGCTCCTGGTAGCCCACAGCCTTAGCATTGAGCAGATGGGACAGGGAGCCCAGTTGGAAATGGTCCCGATCTACAACGAGGTGAAAGGAGGGAGCAGCTCAGGGAGAGCCATGCAGCATTGTGGTGACAGCTTGTGCCCCATGTCCCAGTGCCCTGTGACCAGGGATGGGTACCTTTGAAAGAAGACTCCAAGATGGGAGCCGGTTTTTGGGCCAGGAAGAGCTTCTTGGCGTATTTATTGAGGGCCCCGCTCTTCTCAGTGGGCACGATGAGCTGGCGGATGAAGCGAGCCCGGTCGCGGATGTCATAATTCTGGTCGTACTTGGCCAAGTTGAGGACGTACTGGGTCAGCAGCTTGCTCTGCAGCAGAGAACATGCTCAGGGCTGGCCTCTCCCTCCCTGGCAGGGAAACTGAGGCCCACCCTAGGATCACATCCCCGGTACCTGCTTGGAGTTGGTCAGGTAGAGCTTAGCTGCCAGATTGATGACCTGCAGCTTGACAATGTCCTCCTCGTTGGTGAAGGACTTGGCCATCTTGCGCAGCACATCAGGTGCGATCTTGGGCACGTGCTCGCAGTACTCCCCAATGAGCCACAAGATGCTGGCCCGCGCCATTGGCACCTGTGAAATGCCCCCAGACATGTGGCACTGCTGCCATCCCCTGCTCCTGTGGGTCAGCAGCACCCCAACCAACCTGGATGTTGTCAGTGAGCTTGGCCATGTGCTTGATGATCTCGCTGTGCTGGGCCGGCTGCATCTGCAGCAGCTTTTTGATGACCACCACGGATTCAGCCACCACCAGCTCTGTGGGCAGAGCCCCAGCCTCAGTTGGGTCCTGCCCTGAGAGCGATGGAGCTCCCATTTCACCCCTGCTGTGTGTACTCACCATCCCTGTTGGAGAGCAGCTGGACCAGGCCATTGAGGCAGGTGTCCCGCACCTTCCCGATGTTGGTGGCACAGCGCCCGATGGCTTGGATGGTGGCCGCCACAAAGTCCTTGTCCATGCTGCGGATGTAGGTCTGCACATGAAGGGCACACATGACATGTCACCCATGTGCCAGTGCTGGATATCCCCCCTGGCAGTGGTCACATATTGGGGCCCTTTGGAACCGCTAGTGGGGTTGGTAAGGCCTCAGCTCACTCCTCCTGCAGGGGCTCTCCTCTGCCCCCTCCATGGTGGTGGTTTGGCACCAAGAGCCATGCCAGGGTGGCAACATCAGTATGGCCATGGCATACCTGGAACTCTCTCAGGATGGTGGAGATGTTGGTCTCATTGGCCAGGTTGGTGAGGACCTCCAGCTGTGGAAATGAGGAAGAGATGAGCAGCACAGGGGCATGGTGACAGGGCACTTGATGTCCTCCTGTCCCCAGGGCATGAGGACAGCTGACCCAAAGAAAGGGCTCCATGAAGCCCCAAACCCACTCCTGACAGATGTTTCCAGCTCACCTTGAGGATCTTAATCTGTGTGGGGTCCGTTGAGCGGATGTAGAAACTTTTCAGATAGGGCTCAAACATCCCCTGCATGTACGGCCAGAAGAGACATTAGTGTCATCTCTGGGTCAACACGGCCAACTCCTCCCACACCAAGTCGGAGACTCACCCGCCGCTTGATGGACATGGTGGCCACATTCTGTAGCACGACATACTGCACCTCACTGTGGGGACAAAGAGGGGACATGATCACTGGGGCAAGGGCCAAGCACGCTCAGCAAGTCCCTGTGAATATGGGCCACGACCCACCACCAGCCTGGTGCCACCAAGATGCTGTCACTCCATGTCTGGACTGGACCAGCCCAAAAAGGCCTCCAACCTGATGTCCCTCAAGGAATGGGCTTTTTGGGGGTCTCTCAAAAAGGGTCTTGGAGCTCCCCATGGGTTCCAACAACTGGGGTGGAGGGGTAGGACACCACCACAACCAAGGTGCCACAGACCTGTGACTCCGCAGGAGCCGTACCAGCGCCTTGGCAATGACTCCAACCTCTGCCTTGGGTGCCAGGTGGAAGTAGAGCTGTGCCACGGCCATCACCACCTATGGACACACATCCAAGTGTCACAGGGTGGGAATGGGGGACACCCTGAGGAATGGCCATGTCCCCCAGTCCCACTCTCAGCACTTGGAAGTAGCCTGACCCTGAGGACACCCATTTCTGGGTGTCCCTCAAGCATCCCAGTGAGTCCTAGCCTGTGGGGACATCATAAGCCCAGGCAGATGGACACCACCAGTGGCCCTGGGGGAGGAACAGGGTGGAGTGAGGGTCTCACTGCGGCGTTGCGGCTCTGCAGCAGGGGCTTGGTGTTGCGCAGGAGGAGGCGGTGGTCGGGGTCCATGACGTAGGGCTTGCGCTTGGCCAGCGAGGCTGCCTCTGCCTTGGCATCCTTGGCGTCCTCCTCCTCAGAGCCATAGAAAGCCTTCTCAGTGTTCTCCTCCAGCAAGGACTCCTGCTGGCAGGTGGGACCCTTTTCATTCCCAAGAACACTCCCCCTTCACTCCACCTCCCCAGGGGCTCCCAGGACATCCCAAGGCTCCCAGGGCATTCTGAACTCACATTCTGGTTGGGGCTGAGGAACTGGGTGCGGGCGTAGCGGGTCAGCATGTTGATGATGACCACCTGCCCCCACTCCTCCACATCGATGAGCAGGTTGCAGAGCTTGCGGTAGTTCTTGTGGATGAGGTCTATGCGCTCTGGGCAAACCTCCTCGAATGCCATCACCACGCTGCCAGCCACCAGCTACAGAAGAAAAGCTTGGGGTGACTTCCTGGAGTGGTGGGATCATCAACAAGATGTTGGTTTGGTGGGGATGGTGGCATCTCCATAAGGGCGCTGGTTTGGTGGGCAGCCCTTCCTTGTAGGGATGCCAGCTCAGTGGAGTTGGTGAATTCCCATGAGGCTGTTGGCCCAGTAGGGACAGCAGCACTCCCACAAGGATGTCAGCTCTCCAGGGATGGCTTCATCCCCACAAGGACACTAATTTTGTGGGAATATCTGCATTCCTGTGAGGATGCTGGATCAGTGGGGACAGTGGCATTCTTATGAGGATTCTGTCTTGCTAGGGACAGTGACATCCCCACAAAGATGTTGGCTTGGGAGATGGCTGCAACCCTTCATGGATGCTGGATCAGTGAGGACAATGGCATCCCCCATGTGGGGATGGCTGCATCCCCAAGATGACACCAATTTGGTGGGAACACCTCCATCCCCATGAGGGCACAAGGCCAGTGACGTTCCCAGATTTAGAGGTGGGGGAGACACAGAATCCTGCTCACTGTGGTTTTGTCAGCCAGCAGCTTCTCGATCACTTCGATGAGCTGGTCCTTCTGGTCTGAGTCGAGGCTGTGAGGGAGAAGCAGGGCAGGTAATGCTGGACCAAACTCCTCCCCATCCCTGCCTGTACCAAGCAGCCAAGACCCTTATTGATGTTGCATACAGGTAAAGATATTATAAAGAAAGGCCTTTTAAAATATGATTTAGGCCCTATTACTCTAGCTAAGCTAGCAGTTAGCTTGTAACTTCCCATGTGAAAAAAATCACAAGAGTGAAAGCAGTTAGCATAGCAAACTATTCTAGTAAGAAAACCGTTTGCACGTGTAATAAACAAAAAATCTCTCCCATGGGAACCAGTGAACAAAATATGTAAACTAACCAAAAATGGAGAGATTTGACAGATGTACACCCTAGCCATTTACTGACTCATAAACTGAGTGTCAGTGTATCGTTAGCCAATTAGATCTAACACAGTGCCTTCTGATATTTCCTACAAATATCAGCTTTGTGACTAAAGAATTGGCTCTTCTGCATGAAGAAACTGAGTCTTGGCTGCTTTATCACAACAATTGGTGTACCTTACATTCAGCAGCTGATTCCCTCCTGTTACCTGTACAGCTTGGGGATGGCGTGGGCGGCTGTCTTGCGCACGTACGGGGACATGTCCGAGGCGGCCTCCTTGATGGCCAGCATCATGATGGGCACGATGATGGGCACGCGGATGCTGGACAGGACCCGCAGGGCGCTGGCACGGATCAGCTGGTTGGGGTCCTGGGGGGACATATGGGGGGCTGCAGTGCAGCTGTGGGAGGCTCAGTGCTCCTCCAGACCTCCCCTGGGCCCTCAGAGCAGCCCACCTTGAGTCCTCGCTGGAAGGTGGAGATGGAGAGCAGGGCCAGATCCTGCTGCTCCTCTGCGTAGCGCACCAGGTACACGTACACCAGCTTCTTCACCTGCAGGGTGAAGGTGCCACCTCAGAGCCCCCAAACTCCAGCCAATCCCCAAAAACAGGGAAAATACCAGACCCTGGGATGCTGCCAGGGCCACCCAAGATCTTCCTCACCTCAATGTTCTTGCAGGCAACGTTTTTCACCACAGCTGGGAAGAGATCGGAGGCGTTTTTACCACGGGCAATCATCTAGGGGGAAAAGAAGTGGTGTGACGCTGGGCAGCTGGCACTGCAGGGGCTGGTACAGCGTGAGACAGCTTGGCACCAGCAGTGTCCCCACCAGTGACAACAACACCCACCGCCACAATCCTCTTCATGGCCTCCAGCTTGAGTGAATCCTTGTTGCTGTCGAGCATCTCCTTGAGGTCATCATGCCTGAACCACACCAGGAGGAAAAAAAATACTATTTTCACATTTTTACCTGTTTTTAGTCTTTTTTTTTCTGCTTCCAGCCTTCCATTAGGCTGGCAATCCAAGCCTTCATCATGAAATATTTATGGGGACAGGAGTTGGGTTACAGCAAGGTGAAAGAGGAACCGGAGGGACTGGCATGGTGCTAGCACCCAGTGCCATCCTCATCCCAGGCACTGGGACAAGAACCCTGTCCCATCCTGGCTGTGGTTGTCACCCTAAACCACAGGTGCCCATCACCAGCTCCATCCTGGCTTGGCTGGGTATCCCTTGTCCCTCATGGACCCAGTGGCATGGATGTGCCAGCACACCCCGATGCAAAGTCCTTCCCTGGTCCCCTCCCTGGACTGGGAAAATGCCACCAGCCTTTAGTAAAGTTGTTACCACTGTCCTCTTTTCTAAGGGACACCTGTCACCCCCTAAACTGGGGGCACCTGCAAGGCTGCATCTGAGGGTGACACCCATGGGACGATGCTCGTCCAGAGCCACCACCACCAGAGGGTCCTGGGGGCGCTCCCTGGGGGAGTCTTACCGCGGCGGTGGCCCGG